TTTTATACTCATTATTCTCTAAATTAATTCCTACTGCTCTAACTTCAAATTATTTATTGACTACTCGCTCCAAGTATGGCGATGTTACTTTTTCATCAATTAGAAAAGTTGAGAAGCTCTCTATAAAACATCAAAAATGTAAATGTGATCTTGAATTTATTAGATTCTGTATCATCTACCGACTTACACCAACATTTGTTCAGATTAATTTATGGAAAAAACGTATTAAATGTACTAATGAATATTCTAGTTTTCAACATTTTTGTCTTAAAAAAGAATATGATGATAGATTTAAAGATAGTGTTAAATTAGAAAAAGAAATTAATACATTATTAAATCATTTAAAATCTATAATGACTTATTCTGATTTTGAATCATTAAAAAAGTTTCTATATGATAGATGTACGAAAAAGAAAGATAAATTTACTGCTGTTCATCAAGATAAATTAATAAGATTGAATCATGGACCAATTGGTCAGGATTATCAACAACTTAGAACGAAACTTGTACATAATATTTCCTCATATAATCTTACACCAGAAGAAGAACGTTTATTATGTAGAGGATGGAATTTTTGCATTGAAAATAAGATAACTAATTTTATCGATTTTAAAACAGACATGGAATTAAATGCTTATAAAATTCAAAATAGCTGTCATGCTAATGTATTTTCCACATTATGTAGAAGATTAAATAATTATTCAGAAATATTCATGAGAGCAATTAAAAATAAAAAGATTCGCAATATAAGTGATGATGAATTCAATGCAATTAAATCTTTAAAGAATAATAACAACATTATCATCTGTCGCGCTGATAAAGGAAATGCTATAGTAGTATTAGATAAAAATGAATATATTAATAAAATGAATGACATTCTCAAACAGAAACAATTTAAAAGTACTAAAGGATTAACATTACTTGAAAAAGAAAAATCTATGAATAAATATATTTTAAAGTTATATAAAGATAAAGTAATAGATCAAGAAACATATTGGAAAATTCGTTCTACCAGTTCATCATATGCTACGATGTATGGCCAACCGAAAATTCATAAGTTAAATTATCCTGTTAGACCTATTATCTCATCTGTAGGCTCATATAATCATGATCTCTCTAAATACCTTTATCATATTATTAAAAATAATAGATCATCTCAATCATTTTCATACATTCGAGATTCATTTGAATTTGTTAAAAAGATTATAGGAATTAATAATAGTTTAAATCAAATAATGATAAGTTTTGATGTAGATAATTTATATACAAACGTACCTGTGCATGAAGCCATAGAGATCACATTAGATTTGTTATTTAAAACACCTAAATCATCTAATATCACCTATACTCGTTCCCAATTTAAAGAATTATTAAAAATTGCAGTATGCGATATTCCATTTAGATTTCTTGATAAAACTTATACACAAATCAATGGCTTCGCAATGGGATCACCACTAGGACCCATCTTAGCAGATCTATTTATGTCTAATCTTGAACAAAAATTAAACAGATTTTCAACTAATAAACCACTAACATGGATTAGATACGTTGATGATATTTTTTGCATTTTTTAATAAGAAACAAAATATTAATGAGTTTTTAAAAAGAATTAATAAATGGCATCCTAATATTAAATTTACTATTGAATACGAACAGAATGAAAAACTAGCCTTCTTAGATGTATTGATAATTCGTAATAATAATAATAATTATTATGATACAACGATATATAGGAAACCTACTGACACTGATCTTTATTTGTTATATGAAAGTAATCAATGTAGAGAATATAAATTAAGCTTAATAAGAACATTAGTAATTCGCATTCTTCTCATTTGTTCAACTGATATATTGAAAAATGATGAAATTAAACTAATGAAAAATACACTAATAATAAATGGTTATCCTCAACATTTAATTAAAAGAGGCATAAGGGAAACAGAAATAATTGCTAAGAAAATAAGATCTCAAAAACAACAATTAAATAAGATACAACAAAAGAAAAAAGTTTATTTTTTATTCTCTTATTATGGTCATGAATCCGTAGTATTAGCTCAAAGAATAAAAAGATTATGTAAAAAACTATTACCACTAATTGAAATTAATGTATGCTTTAAAAAAACCTTTACAATTAAAAATGTATTTCTTCCTATTCAGAAGGGACCTGATGAATTAAGAAAGAAAAAGAAATTAGTTTATAAAATTCCATGTTTAAATTGTGACAAATGTTATATTGGTGAAACTAATAGAGAAAAACAAATTAGAATGAAAGAACACCAAGTAGATATTAAAAAACATATACAACGTTCTAATGTAGCTAAACATGCTAATGAAAACAAACATTCATTTAATTTTATACAATCTGAAACATTAGGTTTAGAAACAAATTGGAGACGAAGAATTATTAAAGAAAGTTTCTTTACACATCAGATGAAAGATAAAGCTTTAAATGACGTAAAATTTAAACTAAATATATTCTTATAATTTATGCCTTCGGGCCATTTTGGTGGCCACGACAAGTTCTACGAACAATATTAATAATTCGAATTATTAATATCGTTTCATCTTTTTCTTTTGTTCTCTTGTTTCTTCTAATTAGTATTGTAATATTTATACAGAGTGTTATCTCATTTTTCTATATTCCTGATGATGATAAGAGTTTCTTATCGAAAGCTCGAATAAAACTTATGATTTTTGTTTAAAATCTATTATGTTCTTCGTAGCAGTTTTATACTCATTATTCTCTAAATT